TAGTGACTTCAAGGTCACATTCATATATGTATATTATATAGTCTTATTTTTTAGTGATTCCAGAAACATAAGTTTCATATAAACTTTATTTGAAAGTTTAATGATTTACATTTATTTTACATTAATGTAGCTTTGTTAATTTTGAGTAATAAATTTTTAGTTTAATTTTTTAGTCCCTTTGGTTTAAGATGGAAAATATTGGCTTAAACAAGAAATCGACTCTTTTTGGACAACTTGTGTTTTCACTTTGTGCTTATTGAAATGTTTAATAGATAATTTCAGGATGTGACTATGGCCATTACCAAGTTTGAAAGAAAAAATGATTTAAAAGAAAAATGCATTGCCGTTCTAATAAAAAAAATAACTTTTATTTATTTTCAAATATAATTTATTTAATTGCAAATATATAGAAAAGTTGGAATTACAGTAAAAATAATTTTTTTCCTGAATCATTAAGAGGAAATTTTCACCCAATACTCCATTCACCCCTTGATGTATATTTCTTACAGCCAGAAATTTTTTTCCTGCATAAATATAACACAATTACCAATGTTAGAAAATTAACACTGTTACATTTCTAGTACCTAATCCTCAGATTCCATTCAAATTTTTCCAGTTGTCCAAATAATGTCTTTTATAGCAAAAGGATTCAGTTCAGAATCACGTTAACATTTTGTCATGTATCTTTAATCTCCTTCAGTCTAAAACAGTCCTTCATCTTTCCTTGACTTTCATGACATTGACACTTTTGAAGACTATTTGCTAGCATGAACCTTAGTTTGACTTTGTCTGATGTTTCCTTATAATTAGATTAATGCATGTTACGTGGATTTTTCAGAAATGTAACAAAAGTAATGCTGTATTTTTGTCATTTTACCTCATTAACTGGAACAGATTTTTTTACTTATACCACTGTAATGATGTTCATAGTAATTCGTTGGTTAAGGTGATATCTGCCAGGCTTTTCCACTGTAAATTACTCACCCACTCTGCAATTTTTCAGTATTTTGAGGGACGTTAACTCTGCAGTTGTGTTTATAGTCTTTTCCACATCAAAATTTCAAATTCTTCATTATTTAGACATATAAGTATAGATTCGTGAACCCCTATTTTATTCTTTTACTGTCTTTATTATGATGCTCAAATTTTCCTAGATTTAATTAATAGGGGCCCCTTCAAGCTGACTTTTGTACTCTGCACTATTCCCTATCATTCTTTGAGCAATTCCTTATCTTTTGGTACAAAAAGATGTTCTATCTCAAATTGTCCCTTTCTTGTCCCAGTGCTGAAATCAGCCATTTCCCCAAGGAGCCCTGGTTCTTTTAATAGAGCATGGCATTTAGGAGCCAAGATCTGGACACTGGCTGTGCTCATTGTTATTAGCATGTTGGTGCTCCCAGACCTTCTCAGTTGAAAAGCTGGGGTGTCTCTATCAATAGTCATATCCATATCTATATCTCTATCTCTCTCTATATATCTATAGCTATATGTATCTACACAGAGACAAAAGCAAGATATGTCTACAAATACATATATGTGTGTATGTATAAACCTATCCATGTATTGAGAACTGCGGGAACCATTCACATCAATACCTCTAATTTCAATGCAACAACAAAAGGTTCATTTTAGTTTTTTCCTTTTGAATAGCTGCAACTCCCTTCTCCAACAGTGAGTAATCTGGATTCTATTATTATTTGTATATTTTCCTATTTGATCCATACCCCTGTGGTAACCACGCTCCCACCTCTGCTTCTCCCCCACCCTATGTGGATGCCCTCCTCACCCTCCTTAGTCTCTGATACCTCATGCTGGGCCACCCCACACTTGGTCTGGACCTCCTTTGCACCCACTATGACTTGCACTCCCCATTCTCACCCTCTTTGGGCTTTGACTACCCATGCTGGTGGTTCCCTTGCATAGATGTCCTCCCGACCCTGTTTAGCTCTGACTCTCCATATTTTAAACCCCCTCCCTGTACTGTGTAGTCATCCAGCTAACTCTTCTCGGGCTCTGACATCCTGTGCCAAGCTGCTCCCATTATGTGGACTCCCTCTTCACCCCACTCACACTCTCACACTCCATTCCAGACCAGGGGCCACCACAGCTCCCCTTTGGCTCCCACTGGTGTAGATACCTACCTTGCTCTGCCTCACCTTTATAACTAAACTGTTTGTGAAACAAAGAGAAGAGGAAGAGTCCAGATAATTTCTAAATATGTTTGTTGTAAAGAATATCTGATGAATGTTAGTGATTAGAGAGAAAATCGAGCTGGAGGCAATGACATGTGGTTTCAAATACTGCTGACTACATTATATAATTCTTTGTGTGTGGGAGGCAGTTATATTTATTTGTAAGTCCCCCTTAAGACTTTGCTTTGGACATGTTAGTTCTGCTAGAGTTTGGATGGAAAAAAGATAGCATTTACTGGGGTAAACAGGAAAAGTAATCATGTAGAGATCCTTTTAAATCTCGTCTTATTTTGCTTCTTTGTTTCTCATAATAAACTGCTTTACACATTGGCCCTAGGGCTCTAAATTACAGAGGATCTTGAGTCTTCAAGGCTAAAGCATTCATTCTTTCAGTTAAAGCTAAAACTGGAAAGTCACTGATGGGTTTCACCGGGAAAGCAGTATAACATTGTGAGGAAAACACTAGTTTCTAATTACCAAATTGAAAAAAATCATGAATACATTGTAAATCTTGTTAACTTTTCTTAGGATGAACAGACTAAATTGGATGGATCAGAAAAACTTTTAAATTTGTGGTGCTAATAGATAAGCTGGTTTATTAGTTAATTGTTTATACCATTTAAACAAATGTGCCTCGGTATCACTCTGTGACTTATTGCTATCACAGTAATCAATCACTAATTACTTCTTTTTTTTATACTAAGTATAAGGTATAATATAATAAAATGTCATGCTTATTTGGAGTAATTGGTTTCATCCAAGTCAGAAAAATTTTACATTATTCAAAATTCTTTTTCATTTTTAGAGGAAGGGCTATTAACCAAATATTTGAGCATTCGATATTGGATAAACACTTTTGGCACAGTTTAATTACTACAGTAGTTAAAATATGATGGGACTTTAATTATCAATAGATAATTGGAGAGCGCTGCCTATGTGCTTCTTGAGAGAATCAGGAAGTTCTTGGCATCACCAATTACAGGCATCAGAGTCCACTTAGGCCCCAGTGTCAGCCTCCAACTGCCCTTGGTGGAATGAGAACACAGTGGGCTAAGAAGATCAAGGACACAATGCATGGACAACCAGATAGAGGTAACTGGAAAGGGGAAAGGAAAACAGGGGAGCCAGAGGGAGAAAGGGAAGAGGTGGAAGTGGTGGAGAGGAAGAGGAGGCAGAGAAAAGCCGTTGAGAGGATGTGTGACCTTGTTATTAAAAGACGAGATCGATGATCAGAGGAAATACCGGAAATATAGAAAGAATGTTTAAGAAAACACAAGAAGATATCGCGTATGTAACAATCTAAAGACATGGAGGTATTTTATTGCTTAAACTTTAAAATTTTAAGTTTAAAGAAAAATCTTTCTGACCTATGATCCATGGTCAAGTCTGAGTAGACAGACTGTGCTTTGGTTTGTCCTCATGTCCAAATCTCAGCCTCCCACTCACACTCAGGGAGCATCTTCTTGTGAAGCAAATATGAAAATGAACTTTTGTTTTGCATTTCAATTTGTGGCTGCATTAACTTATGCAAGAAATGGGGGTGGGGGAACCTTAGATTACATTGCCTTGAGCTTATATAACATATTTAAAAGCTTTTAATTGACATATTCCTTAATCTTTACAATATCACTCTGATGTAGATAGATCTGTAGTTTTACCTCCAGTCTATAAAAATACAATCAAAATTAAAACACAATGAAATCATATACACACAAACTCTAGAGTAGATTGATTTGCCTTAGCTGTCCTGATTTAATCAGGTGTAAGAAAACTAAGCTAATTCCATACATTGTGACTGATGAAAATGTTTAAAGTTATCCAAACTACAAGTAGCTTCAATTTGACCATATGAAACCACATTTCAAACTTAATACCCTGAGTGCAAAGCTGTAAAGATTATGCTCTCGTTAGCCTTTTAGTTCCATTTCTCTTTATTTGACGATCTCCTTTTGTGCTGAAAATTAGCCCATAATTGCTATTGTCTGTTGACATAATTATTTTCCCTCGCTGGTAAACTGTGGCTTAAAGAGTGTCCGTCCCACAGAGCGTCTATCCCACAGATGAATACACAGTCTAGAGCTTCAGGACAGAGCCTTCCTCTCCATCTGGCCTCCACAACAGCGAGCCTAGAGGCACTTTAGGGATCCAATGATTCTGGGTCTTTTTGTAACACTGTAAGTTCAATAGCCAGTGAAGTGTGGCAAGATGCGTTGGGCACTGTGGTGAGAAACAGGCAAGAGAAGACACATTTCCTGCCAGTAGGGCTGCTTAACATAGCTCATAAAATTGTCTGTTCCTTCTTTTTAAAACTTGTTTTTCTTCAGCTTTCCTGTCTTCTAGTATTATTTTTCTGGTTTCTGTTTCTTACACCATTGTGTTATTTGCTTGTTATTCTTTTAAATATTGAATTAAATAAACCCTAGAGTATGGCAAATCTGTATTTCCCTCAGAAAAGGATGTTTTCATTTAGCCAGTGATTTAATATCCACTGGTCTTCACAACAGAATAAGCAAACTTTCTAAGGTAAATTTGTTTTCATAAGTCATTTAAAGTAAATTCCGTGGTTTTTACAGCTCGACTTGAAGTGAAATCTTCCTCAGAAATACAGCAATGTTGGCAAAATCCTCAGCAATCACTGAGCCTCAGGGCCAATGTGACAACGTGGGAAGAATAGGACTTCGAGCAGTAAATGTGACTGAAATACAAATAAAACAAGTGGTTTTTCTAGACTCACAAAGTATTGGAAGACAAAACTGTGAGCAAACTACATTATAATATGCAAGGAGAGTGCTTAAAGTAGCCACTAAATTATGTGTTTTTCCGTAGCCATGCAGCTATCCTGGCACTTTGGTTTTTGTTTTTCAGATTTTTGTTCTTTATTGTCTGTAATTTGGCATGAACTGTGAGCCTCTGGTGTTCTTCCAACATGGGACTGAAAAACTGCTGGAGCTGAAAGGACAAAGAGATGGTCAGGGCAATCTAACTTCTCATTTAGATAAAATAAGACAGAGTTCATGCTAAGTCACAACATGATTTTTCAAATGGCTGATGACAATTGGAATGGGTAGAAATGTGTACACCTAGATTTCGTGTGTTCTTGGGGAGACTGTGACCGAGAAAATGTGATGGAGACCACATACCCTGAAGAATCAGATGTAGACTGGAAGCTCCATGAAGTGGGAACTTCATCTATTTTATTCACTGCTCTATTCCCCAAGCACATAGTAGGTGTTCAATAAAGATTTAATGAATGCTCACTGGATATTATACAAGATTTCTGTACCTATATCAGCTCACCAAATATCACTTAAACCCTAATGCTGTCGAGACTGAGTAGTGATGGGGCTATCAAGACTAATTAAAATGTAAAAGGAAAGGAAAGTTCTAGGAAAAAGTAGGTTAAAGAACCAGAAATCTCCCATCCTCTCCCACACCTGCCAGGCAGTGGGAGCCATATGCCTACAGCCCCATATGATCGTGTGCCTGCAGTGGATGGATGTGGAGTAAGGGTCTGTGGGATTGTAGGCCAGGCTCTAGCATGCTGGAATATAAGGAGAGAGCAAGAGAAGTAGAAAGTGTATAGAAATTGTGCTAATATGGTGGGAAAAGGGACTCATGTGACTTTTTATTTTCTTTTTAGTAATTATTTTTGATATTATCATGTGAACTAATACATTATAGTAGGACTGTTGGGCATTAATAGGTTTTTGACAAAGATATTCATAATAGCTCATTTACTTGTTTTCAAAAGAGTGATAGTTTAATCATTGCTAAATCCACTTTTCATTTTTTTAAATAAATTATCAGTGACTATAGAGTTTTGGAAGTTTGAGGACTGCTAAATTTATAAAGCCATCATTCATTCATTAAACAAAAACAACAAAACTTTACTGGGTTCTGTAGAGACAAAGATGAACTGACATACTTTAGAAGATACCAACATAAACTCGGTTTTGATTCTAAGAGCTTTCATTCCAGCATGTATGGGTGTGCCCTTCACTTTCTTGTCCAAAGAATCCATGATAAACCAGGTCCTGACAGCTCAGCCTCAGTCATTCCAAACCCAAATGAAGCATTCAGTTATGTAGTTGTCATGACAACTACATAACTGAATGCTTCCCTCTCCCTCCCTCTCCCTCCCTCCCTCCCTCTCTCTCTTGCTCAGGATCAAGAGCTTTGTGACCCCCACATTTATTTGTTTACTTGCTGGGGTAGGAGAGTTGATTTTCTTTCTTATTTACACAAACCTTTTCTGTTTTCAGTAATATAGTTCCAGGTCATAGTTAATTTGTATTTGTATATGTTCTAAAAATTTGTAATCAAGTTTGTTGAGATAAAATTTATGTACAATAAACTGTACCTATGTAAAGTGTACAAGTTGAATTTTGATCCTTGTATACACCTGTGAAACCATAGCCACAATCAAGATACGGTCATTTCCATCACCCGTATAAGTTTCTTCATGCCCTTGGGTAGCCCAATCCCCTTCTCTGTCCCAGGCAACTACTTATTTATTTGCCTTTGTCACTATAGATTAGTTTGCATTTCCTAGAGAGTATCTGGTTTCTTTTATTCAGCAGAGTCATCCCGAGATTCAATCATGTTCTGCACAAACTTGCCACCCCCCTTTTTTTTTTATTGTAGAGTAGTATTCCATTGTGCGGATATAGTACATTTTCCTTGTCCATTCACCTATTGATGGACATTTGGATGGCTTCTACTTTTTGGCTAATGTGAATAAAGCCGCTATGAACTTTCATGTATTTCTCCACTTGAATAAAAACCTAAAGGCAGAATTGGTTAAGCATATGTGTCTAATTAACATTTTAAGATACCACCTGTTTTCCAAAGTAGTTGTTACATTCCCACCAGCAGGATAAGAGAGTGTTTCAGTTGCTTTACATCTTTGCCAATAATTAGTATTATAAATCTTTCTCATGTTACTGGGTGTGTAGAGGTTGTATTTATATTTTACTCTTGTTTTACTCTGTGTGTGTGTTTGTGTGTGGCTTTTTTGTAGACATTTGCTTTCACTCCTCAGTTAACCTTGTGGTTATAGGATCCTCTTTTCTTTACAGAACTGGTGCCTGTGGTTTGGGGGTGGGGCTGGCTCTAAATGTGGGTATATAACCCAGGCTAGGCTTAGCAGAATATTTCATTCCCCCTGGATATAGTGATTGGTGCATGTCATGCAAGTAGGACCAACAGAGTCTTTCCTTCAGGGCTGGAGCTTGAAGCTGGGTGAGAAAGGATTCTTTCTTCTAGGGTGCTAAAGATCACATAAGCCTGGAGCTATGATTGCCTCTATGTGGAGAAAGCCTGCCTAAGGTGAATCTCAGCCCAGAGGAAAGTAGAAACTAGACATTGTAAGCCCCGTGTTAGGTTCTAGAATACAGATATGATTAAAATATGGTCTCAGTCCTTAGGAGCTCATTGTATCCTCATAGGATAGACATATATACACACTGATTAGAGTATATTGTGGTAACAGCTATGATAAAGATATTCATAGGATGATTTGAGAACATGGTGGAGAGGGTATAAATCAGTTAATTAAAAAAACTCCTAGGATAGAGCAGGGGTACAGGATGATTAGAATTTATCCAGCCAAGAACAGAGATGGGGAGGGCACACCAGGCAGAAGGTAGAGTGTTTCTGAAATCTAGCAAGTGTGAAACAACGTGATAATTTCAGAAAATCCATAAATGGTAGAGTTTGGCTAGAGGAAAAGTGTTTGGGGGTATCTGTTTCTCTTGCTCTCTCACACTCAGTGGTGAGGTGGGCAAAAAGGAAGCTAGAGAGTAAGGCTGGGGATCAATTATGCATGACTTTGTGTGCTAATAAAAATATTTAAAATTTTCCTAAAAACTAAGATAAACTACTGAAGCTCTGGGAGCAGGGCAGTGGCTGGTAGCAACGTGAAAGATGGATGGAGTCAGGACCAGCCTGGGGCTGTGAGCCTGGGCCGGAGTCTACTGCAAGAAAAGCTGAAGTCCAACCCTCTATGAACCAGAATGGTCTCTATTTCAGGAGCAAGACAGAATTAAAAAACGTTTCATGCAAAGAGTAGCAACAATGGGACCACAGAATGTAGTAATTCAGGTAAGCATATTAATTAATTTTAGCAACTCCAAATTACAGAAAAAGTAGCTTCTAAATTATTATAATTCACAATATCTAAAGTCCTTACCTCTATGATCTGTAAATCTGTACTTATGCTTCTCCCAATTATGTACAATAGAGTAACCAATGATTGTGTTCCATACCTACAAAGCAACATGATGTTAATTAGGGTTGGAAAATGTTTTGCAAGTTAAAGCTATATTTCGTATGCCAGACAAATGCTAAGTATACAGCCCCTTTTAATTCCTATCTCCCAAATCTAAGAGAAAACATGCATGAACTGGTTTACCTTCATCTTTTAATAGAAAATCTATCATATAGAAAATTCTATTAGCACTAAAAAATATTTATAGTTTAATACTACATAACTCATAGCTTTTAAAGTTTACTTAAATGCTCTTCCTAAAAATGATAATGACAACTATTTTCATCTTTTTAAATGAGGTGGTTAGAATAGATGTCACATACCTTAAATTAAGAAAATGTATGAGTGTAAGTAAATATGCAAATTGTGCCCCTTAAAAAAAACAATAGTTAATATGAGATCCACTTCAGGAACTGACTAAAATACCCTGAAAGCTTATTTAAAATTTTGTATTTGTATATGCTTTTTGGAGAGAGAATCTATGTCTCCTGAGATTCTCCAAATGTTGGTGATCATTTAAGACCAAGTAGCTGGCTCTACTTACGCTCCCTCAAATAGACATGGCCATTAAAATTTCCTTTTTAGTTTAGTGTCCCTGAATATCCGATGAGAATCATCTTTAAAAAAGCCATGAAGCACTGCCGTGGAGAAAGACCAGATACATACCTGCCCAACGTGATGCTGTGGTTAAAAAGGGAAATAAAGACTTTGGATGCATTAAAAAAGAAAGAAAATTAAAATAGGGTTAATACAATGGACTGAATAAGAAACGGTTGAACTGCCTTGATAGCTGATACACACTATTGATTTACTTCAGAAATGTGTACTTGAAATTAAAAACTGCAAGAGTTCACACTGGCATAATACACAAGAAACAGTGCTTTTGTTCTTTTTAAGCTGCAGCTGTAATGTAAACTATCTACATGAGCAAAGTAGAAGACAAGAGACAGTCTACGTATAATTCAGAGAAGCAAACTTGTTTCCATGGAGAAAGCAGAAATATTTCATTGCTCTCCAGTTTTATTGGCCAGGTATAAAAAGCCTGTGAGATGACTCAAGAAACTTGTCAAAATTTACAAAGAAACTGAGTTTCAACCTTAAAAAAAAAAGTAGAAAACAGAGGAAAAAGTGCTAAATGTGTGATTTTCTACCAGATTTAGGAGAAAGGTTACCCCAAGAGGCAAGGGCTCAGTTTGAAGTTAACTTGGACAACTTATAAGTTGTAAAAGTGAGAAATAACATATAGTTAGAAGCATTGTTCTGGAGATTAAATGAGATGATGTATGTTAAGGCACCTATCAGGGTGTCTGGCATACTTCATTCCTTCCTGTTCTTACAACCTTCAAAAGGAGAGATTTTTCAGACAGACGGAATTTGTCACTCTTTTTGAGAGAGCACTCTCTTTGAAATATTACTGAAAAAAATATTCACCTAATTAATAACTTATCCCATCAGTATTCAAATACATTCTAATTAATATAAAAATAAGAACCAATGGATGTCAGTGTAACTATCCTTTAAAAAAATTGATAACATTCGATGCTAGTGCAGGCACAGTGATTTGGGTCTGGCTCACTCTTTGCCCCTCTCCTTTCTCACATTTCCCCTCCCCTCCTATTTTTCTCCTGCCATGTCTGATTTCCTGTGACAGGCAGTGGGAATGGATCCACTCCAACAACATCTCAATTCGTTCAGTTGACTTACGCTACTATTTAACCCTTTCAACTGTGTTTCCCATCATAAAATACAACAAAGTGGAGTGAAAATAAGTGCAAGCTTAGGACTTCAGACAATATAACAGTATTCGGAGGAGAATCAAGTGTTTGGTAAAGAAAAAGGTAAGATTCATTTGGACCAGTTGCGTTTGAAACTGATTGTCTTGTATTCTATATTCACATAAAACCAGGGTTTTCCTGTAGGCTGTGAAACCCACGTTGTTTTAAGAAAGCCCAAAGTAACTTAACAAGGTTGATAAGGGCATAAATATAATTTCTATCACATACAACACCATCACAAAAATCCTATTGCTCCATCTCTATTCACACATTCTTCCAAGGAATCTATCTACAGCTGATTTATTGATTTTGCTATAACTTGAAAGATGTCTTTGTGGTCAGTGGAGGTTCCTTCATTTGGATCAGTATTCAAAACATCACCTTTGGTCCAACAGTTAAGTAATTACCCCACAGCAACCGGTGCAGTGCCTGCGCATGGGAATGAGGGAGCAGAGCCAAGCTAAACATGTTTTACTCAATCAAATATTCCAAAATGTATTTTTAGGCTTTCTGAGAAGAATTCTGGGCCTGATTGAGGGGAGCAGATGTCCCTGAACTACTACTGGCAGTTCCTCAACTCTAACACCTGACCAACCCTATCTCCCCTTCAGTGCCCTAAGCTCCAGCCAGTGGTTGTGACTAGTACCAAGTCAGTTTTTCAGTCCTTCCATATGAAAGGTGACTTTTGAATCCCCAAAGCCTTCTCCATCTCTCCTCTACAGCACTTATCACGTACTACTACATCCTAATCACTTTATATCCCTGACAACAGCTTGAACTAACTGTACCTTCGCATAGAAAATCCAAAACATTTTATTAGAAAGAAACTTCGAATTGATCAAATACATAGCTTTCATTTTATAGAACAGAAAACCAAGGCCTAAATGTTACCAAGGCAAACAATAAATAGCTGTTCTAGTTACAATTCCAGATGAGAAGGTTGGAGAACTAACTTCCTCATCTGTCTTTCCCCTCCTGTAACTGATCTACTGGCAAATGACACTTTGTTTACATTAGCATATATAGTATGTGGCAGGATTACAGCTGTAAGATGTTAGGCAAAGTATGTGGAAAACTCTAGATTCCTTCTACAAGGCTTCTTGGATCCTTTATGATGCTAACATATACTGTGAATTTGCAAAAGTGGAGGCTAAAACAGTTTCCAAATGAATTGGGCTACTGTCTTTCTTGTTAACAGAAGGTTTATCAACATCTTCCATGGGTAATGCTCAGTGGAATATACTGGAGAAACACTAATTTCAGTACCAACTTGTAAGTGATCAGTTACATTTTAGCAAATTCAGAATAAATCCTTTCCATATTATTCATATAAATTTTAATTTGTCATAAATACTTGTTTAGTTTTTTAACTTATACTTTTTTACTCTGGCATTATATGAAGACTAGTGACACACATACATTCATGTCAAATATAACTGTTAATAACTGATAATTAAATATTCTGATATACAAAGAAGCATTCCTATGTCATTTTTAGTGTATATCATATTTTAATTAATTTTAAAATTGTTACTTATTTCCTTCTAACAATCCATAAATATTACTATTTAAACAAAACCATTAGTAAAATCGAACAAGACAGGTAAATGTAAACTGAACCCTAAAAAATAAATGTATTAGATGTAGAAAACACATTTATTTGAATCTGAAAGACTTTTTGTACTGGACATTAATGTACAAGAGGAGTGAACTGAGATGAATTTACCATAACTAAAATAAGCATTTATTTTATGAGCATAGCATTTTGTCTATAAAAGAAAAATATTCAAGCCATGGTTAAAAGTTCATGCATTTATAATTCTAGGTATTTCTTGGGGATAATGATAAGATCCATTTAGAGTTTTTCTTTTCTCCAGCTTTATTAAAATAGAATAGACAATTAGTTGCTGATATTTACATTGTACCATTCAATGATTTTTTTTTCAGTTATAGTTGGCATACAATAATATATTAGTTTCAGTTATACAGCATAGTGATTAGAGACCTATATAACTCACGAAGTGGTCACCCCACTCAATCTAGGACCCCTTTTCCCCCTTACATATTTTTTACAACATTGTTAACTATTTTCCTGATGCTACACTTTATATCTCCATGACTATTTTGTATCTATCCATTTGTACTTCCTAATCCCTCCGTCCTTTTTCGCCATCCCTACACTCCCCACCATCTAGTAGCCCTCAAAATATTCTCTGTATCTATGAGTTTATTTCCAATTTTGTTGTTGTTATTTTGTTCTTTAGATTCCATATGTATGTGAAATCATGTGGTGTTTGTCTTTCTCTATCTGACTTATTCCATTCAGTGCAATACCCTCTATTAAGGCAATATCTTTTTCCATCCCCTTACTTTTAGTCTGTATGAATCTTTTAATCTGAGGTGAGTCTCTCGTAGGCAGCATATAAAGGGATCTTGCTTTCTTATCCATTCAGCCACTCTGTCTTTTGGTTGGAGCACTTAATTCTTTTCCATTTGAGGGACTTGTTGATAGATGTAGTTGTTAACATTCTTTATTCATGTTTTTGATTCATGTTTTTTTTCTTCTTCTTAAAGAAGTCCCTCCATAATTTTCTGTAATACTGGCTTGGTGATTATAAATTCCTTTAGCTTATTTTTGTCGAGGAAGCTCTTTATCTGTCCTTCAACTCTAAATGATAGCTTTGCAGGGGAAAG